AAAAAAGAAAAAAAAAAAAGAAAGAAAGAAGCTTCGGAGTTGCAGCAGATTCAGCTTTTTGTCAGCTAGGAAATTTGTTGGTCGTGACCGTGGGCGTGAACGCAGGGTGGATCCATCACCCTATGATGGGATGCAGTCTGGAAGAGAACTGATGGTTTCCTCCTGTGAACCCCCTTTTATACCAAAATGCATCCAATACATCATTATACAGCAGCTGGGATTTAGAAACACGCTCAGAGGTCGTCTGGAACACGTCAAATACGTTATGCGTTGGAGATAAGGCCTTGATAAGTTAAACATAGGTTATGTACATGTTGCTCATAGGTTTTGGATAAGCCAGACACCACGAATTATGAGTAACTTTCACTTAACGTATGTCAACGATTAAATAACTTACCTGTAACTTATGGCCCACGTATGAGCAGACGCTGGCGTACGTCGGGAAATTTTGAGCATGCTTAAAACTCTGTGACGTACTTGCCCTATGTCGATGTGTCCCAGCGTGTTTCAGCGTGTTTCAGCGTTTTCCAGCGTACTTCAGCAGCAACTTATACAAAACATACTCATAACTTATTCAAATCTAAATCATCAAGGAGTGACAGGGTCTTTAGATTTCTGTTTGAGTTTGTTTGATTTGTGGTTTATTGGTGCTTTTAAGTTTAAATTGTGGCCATTCTTTACTGAAATGACCAGAATGCACCAATTTCTGTTTCATCTTCACATCATGACATTTAGATTCGAAGAACAGCTAATATATTAAAAGCCATGATAAAAAAACTGTTCTGTATGTAAAAAAAGAACATGATGTTTTAACACTGTTCGGTCTACTTCAACATGATGTGATAAAAAATGTATTTTCCAAATCAAGCTTATAACACTTATGTCTGAGGAAAGAAAACATGTTTCTGCACTTCAGCCTCTCTTAGATTCAGGGTTGCTGCACTTTGCAGCACACAGTGATGTCCAGAGAGCAGCTAACAGAGTTGAACCTGCATGGATGCATACATGATTCCTAAATGCTGACACCCATGAGTCCTTTTCCTTTAGATGACTGAACCATGTCTGATTCCCCATGTACACTCGTGCCTAAAAGCGTTCAAAAAAATTAACATTTTAAATGACCCAACATGAAGACAATTTTCTGTTTTATAAGGTGCTGGTGGATAGAGACTGGAACTACAAGGTGTTCGCTTTCTGAAACTATTTGAGCTGGATTTTATGAAATGAAATAAAGTCGTAAATAATTGTGAAGTGAGATAAAAATGACAAATTATAGCATTTCTACAAACAAAAACTGGAAGATTGTGATGAGAAATTGTGCTCAGAGTTAATCCATTATAGCACAGGCGTAACTTTCTGAAGGACTGGTATGGACATATACCCACCAACTTTGGCCTGGAGGGGACAGTCCCCACCTAAAAGTTATGCTGTTTTTCCTATTTCTACTCATTTACCTAAGCCAAAGGTAGCAGAGGTTGGGTGCAGCTGTCTTCAGAGCATTTTTAGTCAGTGTTTTTTTTTCTCTCTCGTGCTGCCCCAGTGTCCCGCCTCTCGGTGTAACATCTTCAGATTTCTGGTCGCATTCCAAAGTAGGTTGAAGGAAAGACACACAGCAGCATTAACCTACAGCTACTTCGATGTGTGTTTAAGTAAAAGATAGAAGACGGGTTGGTTAAAAAAATTTGAGATGAAACAAAAAAATCTGTTCGTTAGACATGGAGCTTTTTCAGTTATAAGTGGCAACAGAGATTAAGTTTATACAAGTTAGTATTATAATGCTAGAAGCTTTAGAAAACATACATGCTTTGTTCTTCTTTACTAGTTAAAAAAAGGCTTCGCTTCTCAGAAAAATTTACACGTTTTCTTATTGAACAGACAGAATCCGACTGCAGAGCTTCTACATATTTTGAAATTTTGGTTCTGGCATCATTATTAGGGATGCACAATATAATCGGCCCCCTATCGGTATCGGCCTGTATCGGCCTTAAAACTTAATATCGGACATCGGCCACCCCACCGATATTTAACCCGATATTTGATCAGCTTCTGAGTTTCTAAAGTCTAAAAAAAAAAAAAAAAACTGCTTCTTCTTCTTCCTCAAAAACTTCTTTTTTACAGACTTAAAAACTTCTAAAGACGAGGGAAAAAATATTGATACATTAAAATATCACAATATCTTCATATGCTGATATATTGCCATTTAAAAACACCATATCAGTCTCTTTTACTAATGAAATATTGCTATATGTCATCGTTATGCTACGAAATCCCCCGAAAATTCAAGAAATTTTGCCATATTTTTATATGTTGATATATTGACGCGGTATCGATCTATTTTACTAACAAAATCTCACAAGAATTTGCAAAATATCACGAGAGTTTGTAACAGAACGATGAAATTTCACGAGATTTTGAAAGTAAAATAAATCGATACTGCGTTTTTAAAAATCTATTTGATATCAGCATATGAAAATATATTTGAGTATGTTATTTTTCAAAGTGTCAGAAATGGATAAGAAAACTGCTATTTTCAATGACTACTTATTTTTTTCCAGCTTTAACATCGATATCGGTTATCGGCTACATGAGTTTTAAAATATCGGCATATCGGATATCGGCCAAAATCCCAATATCGTGCATCCCTAATCAATATATTAGTAAAGAGGCTCATAAATCTTTTTAAACAGCACAGAGAGAAATAGGGATGAATCAGATTTACTGGGATATGCAAGAAAATATAAAATATATCTCCAAGTTTACCAGAAGGTTTACAGGGAAAAAATGCTATATTTAAAATGCAGCATATGCATATTTTTCTGGATGGATGAATTGAATTGAAATTGTAAATTCTAGGGATGAGAGATATATCGATTTTGGCATCAGAATCGTCTGTTATTCGTTATCTTTTTATACATGAATGTTTTTGGGCCCTATATATACACTCACCGGCCACTTTATTAGGTACACCTGTCCAACTGCTCGTTAACACTTAATTTCTAAGCAGCCAATCACATGGCGGCAACTCAGTCCATTTAGGGCATGTAGACATGGTCAAGACAATCTCCTGCAGTTCAAACCGAGCATCAGTATAGGGAAGAAAGGTGATTTGAGTGACTTTGAACGTGGCATGATTGTTGGTGCCAGAAGGGCTGGTCTGAGTATTTCAGAAACTGCTGACCTACTGGGATTTTCACGCACAACCATCTCTAGGGTTTACAGAGAATGGTCCGAAATAGAAAAAAATTTGAGGCAGTTCTGAAGGCAAAAGGGGGTCCAACCCGTTACTAGCATGGGGTACCTAATAAAGTGGCCGGTGAGTGTATAATGCACTAAAAGGCATCTCTCTAACTATCGATAAATATAAATATCAGTGTATTGTGGTTCTCTTGTGTTCTCAATAATAGGAAAGCATTCAATAAATATATGTTTGAGCTCTTTTTTGGAAAATACAAAAACCTAAACTAAAATAAGCGTTCGGGTTCCATCAGCCACCAACCGAGTGTCCCACCAAATTTAATTACAACATTACACCCTTGTTTTGCAGGTTAAACATGGAACCATTCTTTAATCTGTATCCTTGCAGGAAAAGGACATATTTTGTTAATGCAAAAAAATAAAATAAAAAATGAAATCCAGGAACAAAAAAGTGTAAAATTCTTGATCAAAAACGTTTTGATTAAAAACTTTTCTGTTTTCTAAGATTTTACTTTTTTTCATTTATTTTTCTCAATTTCTTTTTACTGTATTATTTTTAAACGTTTTTTCAATTTTTTTTTTTTTCCCGAGATTTTTCAGATAAATTTTTTAAATTGCAATCTTTTAAAATTGGGCTTACAGATAACATTCTCTTCACTTCTGAGGACTGGCTTTTCTCTGGAGTGAGGAGTGAAGACACAGATGCACTGATCTGCATGGATGTTAGCAAAAACATTTTATTGGTCAAGTGTGAATGTTTGTATTTGGGCTTGAAGTAAAGAAAATATCATAAACATCCATCTCAAGAAGATTCATTTGAAAAACTAAAAAGTGTAACTAACAAAATTTGTAAAAGGAAAAAGGTTGGAAAATAACATTTGAAAGAATAAAATATATCATAAAATATAAAAATGTATCATAATATATCAATATCATATATTACTATCATTAATTTTAAAATGATTTTAAAAAGCTTTTTCAACGTTTCATTTCTGGGTTGTGGTTTTTTTTTCTTTTACAAAATGTTTTCTTTGCTGAGAACAATAATGGAACAAAATTTTCGACATACTTCATGGCATATGTCAATGTCTGTGTTCGAGACCAGATTAGTGATTTTTTCATCAACATATTAGTAGTAGGCTCCATGCAGCTCCAACAGAGTCACCATTTCACAGTTCTCTGAATAAAGTCTTTCTATCTAATGCTTATATTTAGCCCTCACAGCTCAGCAGTTTTACACTTAAATGGACTCTATATATGGGTGACTAAGAATTCCTATATCCGAGGAAATCAGGATAAAATGCATACAGTTTTTTGTTTGAATAAGAAAGAATTGTGCAAACAGAAGTTTACTATACGCTTGGGACACGTCACCCCACCCACCACTGAAAGAGGAACATTTAGGATCATCTGACCTGTGAAATGTGGTTGACAGAGCTTTCCATGCGGCGGAGCTGTGAGGCCTGGATGTCGAGCATCTGCAGCACATTGTTGGCCAGGGTGTTGATAAGGTAGGCGACACTAGCCAGAGACTGGGTGGTGTAGCTCTTTGTCTCCTCCAGCGCTCGGTGTTTGTCTGCAGACTGTGGGAAGAGGGGGCAACAGACAGATTTGGGACTGGAGTCAGACAGGGTCAACAACTTAAAAAAACATACAAGCAACTAAGAGCAGCTAAATAAAAAACTAGGGGATGAAGAAAACCTAAGATAACTTTACTCCCATTAATGTTCTAGCAAAGAAAGCCAGTATGTGCGGCCCACTACTACTATGAGATGGGTCAAACACAAAGGACAAGATATCAATATAAAACATGCAGTTCCTTTGATTGGCTCATCTACCAATAAAATCCAAAGTCGGGGGTCGGGGAAAGTGAGCTACTAAGTCGTGGTCATAAGATGGTTAACACAATCAATGCAACCTGATTGCTGAGTGATATGCAGCTCTGGGATGAAATGTCTTTTATGGCTCCTCTTCCCTCCATAAAAGACATTTCATCCAGGCACTGCGTGTCCTGAGCCCCTAACATCATCAATGACCCCCTTTAGTTATTTATCCAATACATAATTCAAACATTTACTATACCATTAACATTTAAATTCCACAGTTAATTAATTAAATGGTATAAAAAATACTTTTAGTATTTTACATGTATTATTTAATAAAGAGACATAATTTTATGGGGTCATCAGTTTGCATTGTTATTTTTGGGGTTAGAGGCTGAAATGTCTGGAAACTAGTGATCTGTGGGTGGTTTTCTTTCTATATAAATCACAATGGGTGTTCCAAGATTTATGATATCTTTCATCAGGATGGAATCAGTCTCCTAAACAACTAGAGCTGTCGACATGTGATGTCTGGTTAAGCAAATATGAGCTAAAGATTGGAGTCTTGCTCATGGATGTGGGAGTTTTAGGTTGTCAATTTTCTCCTGGATCCTAGTCTTAAGTTGTGCTGTTGATTTGCCTAATATGCTGACACGTATCGGAGCAGCCAAATAACTGGACCTGAGTGAGTGTAGCAAAACTATATCCAACTCAGGTCCAAATAAATAAAAAAGAAAACAAATGGTATGAGCGGAAGTAAAAAAGTGTATGGTTAAAGTGGCTGCTTAGATGCTGAGAATCTGAGTGAAATTTTCGGAATCACACCAATAAACTAAACTATATTCACACTTTATGTACATTTATGTATGAAATGGGAAAATTGTCCCTGCAAAAAGCCTTGAGATGACATGTGTTGTGATTTGGCGCTATATAAATAAACTGAATTGAACATGTATATGCACACAAGGTGGATTTATTTGTTATTATAAAACACAGATAACATTCTTGAATTATAAACAGAGCATTCTGAAGCATTATGAGTCAAATAATCTTAACCTAAATGTAAAGAGATCACGTTGAGTGGATGTATGGAAAATATACCCATTTCAGTCCTCACAAGCATAAAAATATCATCTGTGTGTGGGTGTGTGTGCTGAAGCCCAATATAGGTCAGTGCAAACTCATTCAAGCCTGAAGTTGACAAGAAACACACTGACACTCAAGTGTGTATCTATCTGTGTGGGTTTGTGTGTGTGGGTGGGTATTTCTTAATGGGGGCCATTTTCCATAGATCATAGCACATCGTGGGGACCAATGCCCCGTCCCCATGGGTAAATATGCTGTTTGGGGTTAGGTGTAAGGTTTAGGACTAAGGTGTGAATTGATTTTAGGGTGGGGTTAGGGTAAGCTATGAATCTGTATTGGTTAGGTTTAGGGTAAGGGTCACAGAAATGGGTTGGAAATAAATGAAAGTCCCCACTAGGACAGAGAAACGCGACGGTGTGCGTTTGTGTGTGTGTTTGCACACACAGATACATGGAGTCAAGGCATATTATAACTGACAATGCAAACAGAAACACACACACCCAGTTTGTGTCATGACTTCAGATGACCCATTGCCCTACATTTGCAGTCCAAGGCGAATTCCACATTTCTTGAACCAGATAACAGCAGAAGGAAGTGCTTAAAATCTGCTTCCAGTCCTGCCAGCAGCTTGCAGAAAAGCTTAAACTTTATATACGGCAAACTGCCGGTGGAAGCTACCTGAGGTCACAGAGACACAGCAGTAGTTAAGGCATTATTATAACTGGCTGAATTAACATCCTTCTTTGGGTAACAAGCAAGCCCAACAGTTCATTAAATGGGATTCTACTTTATAAAGTTCTTTTTTTTACCCTCAATCTGGTATTTATACATCTATGAATAAGCAAGTTCCTCTCGACCTTTACGTAGTATTTATATAAACTAAAAAAAACATCTGCCTCTCTGTCGCATCACAGCAGTTTCTCTACCTGCTTGCTCTCTTAAATCATTCCCAAATACATACAATATTTTTATTGTATATTGTATACTTTCCAAAGATGGAACATTGTGAGATTTTGATGTCATTAGTGGAGCCGGTTTAAACTGCAGTTACATGAAATTAATTTTATAAGAGGGCTTCATTATGTAACATCAATCTATCATTATTGTGATATGAGAGTGTATGTAATATTAAATCATGATGAAAACAATATTTGTTGTATTTAAACTATATGTAAAATTTCATTATTCATACTTTAGATGATGACCTTATACCTTAGTAATGACCTTTGCCTTTACCGTTGACTGCGTTAGAGGAGCGTTCAGGAGCAAAACTAGTTTCCAGCAATGCCAATGGTGCCATTAGTGTTAATAGTTAAAATGAGGGAGGAGGCCAAACCTGCAGTGAAAACAAAGCTAATTTTGCTAGTTTAGAAGTCAGGAGCTCCTTCTATTTGATGGAAAGGAAAATTGGGTGAAAGCATTTTTTCTGTTGGTCATGCAAATTGATGGGAAAATGTAGTACATATTACTGTGTAAGAACTGTAGGCCTTGTGTGGATATTTATGTGCTACAGCCTGATAGCATTGTTTGTTTCTATCGCCGCTATAGAGAGAAGCATCCTGTGAAACATGTATAAAACACTTAAGTCCATCATTTGCACCTTATGGGTTTGAGATATACGTCTAACCTTGACTCAAATGGAAAAGAGGTCGGTATTAGACATTGTTGATTTTGCTGACCAGTGGAGGTCTGCAGCCATGAGCATGCCTTCAGCTGTAACAATAGTACCATGACCTTTCATTGCTTTTCTTTTTTTTGAATGCTGCATTAAATAACTAAAGTGTATGATGGGAAGCTTGAAGCTCATTTGAGTCCCCAAAAACTAAAAAAGAAAGAATATCCTGACATTCAGGAATTTGTTTTGTTTACATCCATTCTGCACTAGTTGGTTAAATGTTTTTTTCTCATGTTTTTCAGCATCTGTTTCATTCCCATTCTGTCTGAAATCCTCCATAAATGTATTACGACATCTTTACATCTCCTCTGCAGCCTTTTTTTTCCCTCTAATGTCCCGTTAGCACTGACCTAGTTGGGCTGCTGCCTTATTTGGCCTAGCGCAAGGGCAGACAACACATACACACATATAGACACGTACAGATGCTGTTAATAAAGACCGATTTTTATTTCCAACTAAGTTCACAAACATGAATCATATTAGATCTACATGGACTCCTATGCACGCTCTGATTTCTCTGACCTCTTTTTTAATGAAGGCATATTCAATTCAATTATACTTCAATAATCCCCGAAGGGAAATTCATTTACACTTTATTAGCATAAAGTATACAATCCAATGAATCATATTTTGATGCTTCTTGCTGCATTGTGATGCATATTGAGGTTTTTAATGAATCAAAAACAGCAACAACAAAAAATTACCTACAAAAAAGCTTTGGGTGTGGCAACTGATGCTGTAAATTTAAAGATGCTTCTGCCTGAAAGGATACAACAAACATTATCTAAGTAGGGAAAATGCTGAATAATAACATAAACATAGGACCAGTCCCTAGAGTATCTGTCTATAGAACATTTTCTAAATAGATTTAAGTGTGTAACTTGAGCAGGCCATTAGAACACCTTTGTTTTTTTCTTTCCAAAATAGTTAGTAAATAAATAATCCACTGGACTTTTTTTCCAAGTTTGAAGACATTTTGCTTCCTATCCAGGAAGCGTTCTCAATTGAAAATGTCAGAAATAGCATTGAGTTTGAGGATTTATAGAGTGGACCAAAACAAAGCCTTGTTTTGGCTCAGAAAACATGCAATCAAATCAATCGCTGAATAGAAAGTTTTTTCAGCTTTCAAAGATCTAATATTCAGCGATAGAGTTGATTCATTCCTACTATCATCGCAACTCCCACCACCTTACAGGGGAATAGAAGTCTTGCATGTTCAGGCAGGCCAACAATTTCCTTTAACAACCCTCCTTTCAGAGACATAGACAGGTATCAGGTATTACAGGCTAACAAAATAAACAAACCACCCCCATTCCAAAGGGTGGACCAATTTGTCTGGTTCAATTTGCATGTCTTCTAAGCCAAAACAAGACTTTGTTTTTGGTCCACTTTATAAATCCTGAAACATTTTGAATTGAAAGACCTTCCTGGATGGGAAGAGAAACGTCTTCCAACTTGGAAACAAAGTCGAGTGGAATATTTTTGTATTCAAACCTTTCAGAGATAAACTTTCAGCTTCGCAACCTAGGTGTGCATGGGCTTAAAGTCAGAACAAGGTAGTCAAACAGCCCTTCAGGAGCAAAGTGCAAGTTCCTACCAATTACCACATGTTATTCTTGTCCTGAAGCAGCAAACCAAACCAACACCATCACTGCCATGTTTACATTGTAAAATCAGTCCTTTTGTCTAAGTTTAGATTGTATGTTAGAACAGGTGCAATGCAGCTTAGTGGTGTTTAAATGCATATCTACTAAAGTAGCTGTGGAACCTGGTTCTTCACTTATGTTGGTGCCAAAGAGCCCTCAGAGACAGTCACCAGCAGCCTGCTGCCTGCCTTGACCATAGAAGGAAATGTCCCGCTCTGTGGCAGGCAAGGTTTACTGCCTGAATGTTTTTATAATCACTTAAGGTTTACTGTAACACTTCAGGCAAAACAGTAGCTCAAAAGTAGGATGATATAGACTTATGGCTAATGGTCTGTGACTCTTTGTCTCCTTAG